CGCTCGTGGTCGCCTCGCGGGCGCCCCGTGCACGGTGGCGGAGGCGGAGGCGGATCATGAGGAGGAATAGGAAGCGGAGGAGGGAGGAGTAGGCGGAGGAGGGACGGAGGGAGGAGGGATGAGGAGGGATGGAGGGAGGAGGAGTAGGCGGAGGGATGGATGGAGGAGGGAGGAGGAGAGATGGAGGAGGAGGAGAGATGGAGGAGGATGAGGGGGAGGAATGGAGGGAGGAGGGAGGAGGGAGGAGGAGGTGGAAGGATGGAGGATGGAGGATGGAGGATGGAGGATGGTGGAAGGAGGAGGGAGGAGGGAGGAGGGAGGAGGGAGGACGGAGGAGGGGGAAGGGAAGAGTCAGAAGGGAGGAGGGAGGAGTGAGGAGGGATGATGATGAGGATGAGGATGAGGATGAGGAGGAGGAGGATGAGGATGAGTACGACAGCGGAACCTACGCCAAGCAGAATTGCGACTAATTCAAAGCATCTCCACTGCCATGGCGGCGCCAACCATGCCCAAGCCTCAGTTCCCAGTACCTGAATACAAGGCGCCACCTACACCTCAGCCAAACTTCCAAATACTACAGGCGGACGGCAGCGCCTACTGGGGATAACAGATCTACCACACAGATTGCTGTCTCTTCTGGTTACCAACGGTCGGGCAGTACTACGGCATGGATTGCAGAGTCTACGACGCCGCCACATCCACCACCGCAACCGCCAGTACTTCAATTTCCGCTGAACGAGGATTTATGACGACATTCCCCCCCCGCCTGTCCCATTCCTTAGTATTGTAGTGGCCTTCGGCCAGTGCCGCCGATCCGGGTCGCTCGGGGTTATTCTCCAGACGCAGAAATTATGGGCGCACACTCAAACGCACACACACAGTCACACCACTTAACCTGCGCCGCAGACATGCGCACACAGCATCACCCACACACACATACTAGTTGGGAAACGCTCCTGTAGTACTAGTAGTAGTATTAGTAGTAGTAGTAGTAGTAGTAGTAGTAGTAGCAGTAGTAGTAGTAGTAGTAGTAGTAGTAGTAGGTAGTAGTAGTAGTAGTAGTGGTTGTGGTAGTAGTGGTAGTAGTAGTAGAGGCCTCGTTCCGCGGCTTCTCTCGACTTCCCGCGGTCTCTCTCAAGTTTCGAGCACGCGGTGAGTTTCACGATATATGTGTGTGTATGTACGCGTGCATGCATGTATGCATGCATTGATCATGTGTGCCTGTGTGTAGGTACGTATGTATGTATGTATGCTTGTGCGCGTATGTATGTATTTAGTTTGTATGTATGTTTGTATGTGTGTATGATAATATGTGTGTATGTGTGTGAATGTAAGTATGTATGTCTGGAAGATTGTTTTTCTATGTATGCAAATGTGTTTAAATGTAGGTATGTATGCATGTGTGTATGGATGTGCGTTTGAAGAGCGAGGATGTTTCAAAGAAGAGGCACTCGGTGACGCGATCGTTGAGGGATAGGAGTGAGGTCGCAGAGGAGGAGGAGGAGAATGAGGAAGAGGCGATAACTTGAAGGAAAACGATGAGACGGAGGACATCCTGCCGGTGGCGCCCTGGGCGGTGCCGCGGAAGAAACCGGGGGCCTGCCGGAGGCAGTCTGGAGGCCTCTGGGGAGCTGTTTTGGGGCCTCTTGGAACCTCTTTTGGGCCTCTTGTGGGCTTCTTGGGGCCCCTTGGGGGTCTCTTGGGGCCTCCTGGGGGCCTCTTGGGGCGGAAAGCTCGGTTCTTTCGGTTCGTGGTCCCCCTCTTGGGCCCCTCTTGGGGCTCTCTTGGGGCCTTCTTGGGCTGTCCAGAGGCCCTCTTGGGCCGTCTTGGGGCCCTCTTGGGCCGTCTTGGGGCTCTCTTGGGCCGTGTTGGAAGCATCGTGGGCCGTCTTGGGACGGACTTGGGGGCCTCTTGGGCCGTCTTCGAGCGTCGGACGCCCGAAAAGGCAAGAACGCTAAAAACCCTGAGAAAACCAATGAAAATCAACGATTCTGGCCTCTTGGGGCCCTCTTGGGAGGCCTCTTGGAAGCTTCTTGGGGCGTCTTGGAGACACCTTGGGCCGTCTGGAGGCCATCTCGGGCGTCTTGGAGCGATTTTTCGGCGACTCGGGGCCCTCTTGGAACCCCTTGGGGGTCTCTTGGGCCCCCCCCCTCCTCCAAAGCGCCGGAAAAAGCGGAGCATGGCGCCCCCCCCCCCCCTATCTTCCACTCCCCCGGAGCGGCCCCGGGGTTCGCCGGAAACTCGCACCCCCCCCCCCCCCCCCACCCCCCCTTCCCCGGCAGAGCCACCCCGGCGACCCCCCCAGAGGCTGAAGCTCAGCCTCGAGGCTGTAGCTGAGACTCCTTGAAACTCACACGCCGGATCGGCGGATTATGGTAAAGAGGCTTGTCTTGTTATCGTCCAGGCGTCCGCCGTTCGGTCGTTCGTCCTTCCTACTTCTTTCGCCTTCCCCGCTCAACCAGCCGCCGAAGGCTACTCCCCCCCCCCCCAGGGGCAGTGCTTCACTTATGGCTGGCGAGGGCCGAGGTCCTGTACGTCCGCGTGCGGGGGCACCGGACTGCGACGCTGGCCTCCCTCGGTGTGTCACCTCCCCTGCCCGCCCCCCTTCTTCCCGAGCGTTGCTGCTTGCTGACGAGCCGTGGCAGGCGCACTTCTACCGTTCGCGGCCTCAGCGGTCTGGCACTTCTTCGTCGGGCCGCCGTCTCTGCCATCCTCGGCCTCGGTCTGCGGACCCCTGCCTTCGAGCCTCAGCTCGGGCAGTGCGTTCCCGCCCCGTTTTGCGGGATGTGGCCCCGCAGATGAGACTGCGTACTCTTCTCCTTTCCTTTCAGATGCTTGCTGTCCTGACTCTGGGGTCGAATGTGTTGCTGGAAACGCTGTGGTTCCTCTTCCTCCTCTTCCTTACGTTGGTGGTGGAGGGCGCGACCACGCTGACCCACGCGAGGGGCACTCCGGGCCAGGCGGTAACCGTGGCCAGCCAGCACTATGCGCCAGCCACACTATTCAGGGGGACCAGTGATTACCAGCCCGCTCGCTTAGACGAGTTTAGTCCAGCCGGCAGCATGCACGAGTAGCTCTTTCAAGATTGCCCATCGTATGTTCCCGCAAGCTACGCATGTTACCTACAGTCTCTCTCTCTCTCTCGTCTGCTTGGTTTCAATCAAGCCAATTCCAGTCATGTCTTGCGTTGCTCTGTTTTTTTACTGCCAGCACCCATGCATACACTGACATTGTTTGGGGGTTGGGCTGTGGCGATTGGGGGATGGATGACGGGGGCGGGTGCTTGCTCACAGCAGGCCGTAGTCGTACGTAATGCTTCGCTGCGTTGACAGCGTACGCAGTTCAATGTCAGGCCCCCTATCATAGGGCGTGGCCCCACAACACAGAGCTCTCTGAAGCATAATCCGCCACTAGCATGCACCTCATCCTGACCTCCGTTTCAGGTCTTCTTAGCACAGCTCCAGCCTCCTGCGAGCAACGGCCATCGGCCGGGCAGTGCCGGCCTGGCAGCGTGGTGCTGATGGGAACTGGCGTGGGTGATTGACTACTGGGGAGGGGTGGCCGGGTGTGTGGAGGGACGGCTGGGTTGCTTGCTGCTGTATTTCAGCATGCGTATCACGCTTAGCACCTCAGCAATCGGTTTCTCTTTCTCACTTTTTTTTCTGCGCTGCCTCGCTACGTTTCTGCACTTCAGTAACCAGCCTCCGCCATCTTGTACGTTAAACCCAGACTTGTACATCCAAGCCTATGGCTACGATCGTTCCTCTTGCCAGTATTCCAGCCTATACTGTTACTTGGGGTGGGAGGGCTGGGGTGGACGAGCTTGGGAGGTGGAGAGAGCGGAAGCCTCAGTACGTGCAGCTTAGGTATTTCCATTCTTTCATGCCCTATTGGTCCAGGGTTCGGCCCCATGTTGCCTGTCAGCTACTTGACTTCCCACATTGCAGGATTCACACAGTGCTACGAATCTGCCCTATACGCTTAGCTGCACGGTTTCATTTGCAACACTGGCTGGCCTACAGAGTGCCAGCCTCCCCAGGCTCTACTTTCAAAGGGGGTACAAGAGCCACAATGGTGGCCACAGTGACGGGGGCACCCACCCTAGGAACTGAAACGGTGAAGCCCCCCCCCCCGAGGAGCTGAACATACACGGGTAGCAACCCACGTTTTGTTGATTATTTTTGTGTTGCAGGGCCAACCAGCACAGCCTGTGCCACCCCCGACGCAAATTGTGCGCGCGCGCTCTCTCTCTCTCTATTCCCCTGCACGTACTCTTAGAGTCGCCTGTACATTTTTATCTTTTCTCGCTTTGCGCTTCCTTGTTTTGCCTCGGCACAGCTTGCCTGAATCAGCTGAGGGGGATTGCTGTGGAGTTTCTCTAAATGTATGGGGTGTGGCACCACGGTAGCAACAGGCTAGGTTGATGACTGCGGCCTGGCGGGCGCGTATTTTTAAGGTCTTAGTCGGATATTGGAATCTATACATTACCAGTGAGGGGCTGTTTTTCAATCCCAGGATTTTTTGAGGGTCGAGGACGACGTCGGGGTGGTGTGGTGTATACTTGTTTCCCCGTTTTTCTTGGGGAAACGAAGCACCAGGATCCCGTATACGCCAGGATCCGCTTCCTTGTTTGCAAGTTTCAGGGCAGGCACAGAACACGCGTCGGTGTATAGAGCTCGGTTCCTTACTTAGGACCCTGCACGCTTCGCTCGTCTTTGCCCATCCTTTTCTTGCTGCGCCTGCCTGGCCTAACTTCTTTTGCGCTCTGCCTCTAAGTCGGCATGCTGCATTCTTCTCCACCGCGCATTGACGCCCCATGCCGTTGCACCAACTCCGCGCAACGTTAAAAAAATGGGGGGATGAGGAGGGGGAGAGCTGGAGGGAGGAGGGCTGGAGGGGAATGGATGGGGGGATGAAGTGGAGGGAGGAGGGAGGAAGGATGGGGGGATGCGGAGGGGGAGGGATGGAGGGAGGAGGAGGAAGGAGGAGCCAGTGGCCAGGCTCTGCGCCGCGACACCTTCGACGAGTTTGTGCTGGACAGGGGCCTGCTTCGGGCGCCGTTTCCCCCCCTAGCCCCGGCGCGCCGGAACGGCGCGGCCGCGCGAGGTGGGATGGGGCTGTGCGACCCTGGGGGGAAGGTCAGGGGCAGCGACAGGGGGGAACTGGCTCCCTGATCCCTAAGGGCCCGAAAACGGTTCGGTAATCGAACTAGATCGAGGAGCGGGTCAAAGAGGCTGAGGTAAGCTCAGAAGCATCGGAGGACATCCAGATCAGATATGGCCTGTGTGCGTTGGCAAGGGGGGGCGGCGGGGGTCCGAAGTAAGAGGGCAAAGAACCGTGTGAGGGGTGTGCCGAAATGGGGAGGTGCCGTCTTGCAGGCACTAGCACAAGCGCCATCAATAATTCCCATACTGCAAGGGGCACGATGCGTGGGAGGGGTGAGCCGAAACGAACCACCGACGCCGTAAGGACCCTGACATGTGGGCTTTAGTTGGGATTCCATATAGGACCACGAAACGTATGAGGAGTGTGTGTTACATGAAGCACCGCCGCCATGCGGACCCTGGCATGCATTTGGGGTATTAGTTGGAGCTTCATACGGGGCAACGGAACGTGTGATGGGGTGTGCCGAAATGATGCACCGCCGTGCGGACTTTCTGGCATTTGGGCTATTCGTTGGAGCTTCCTGCGGGGCCACGACGCGTGTGAGGGGTGTGCCGAATTGAGGCACCGCCGCCATGCGGACTTTGGCAGTTTGGTTGTAGTTTTGGCCCCCATATGGGGCCGTGGCAAATGGGCCTTAGTTGGAGCTCCCGATGGGGCCACGACACGCGTGAGGGGTGCGCTGAAATGAGGCGCCGCCGCCATGTGGACCCCGCCATCGGAGCATTTGGTGGCGCTCCCACTTGATCCATGGCACGCGCGAGAGGTGCGCTGCAATGAGACACCGCTGCCATGCGGACCCTGCCGCTGTAACATTTGGTGGAGCTTCCCATGGGGCCACGAAGCGTGTGAGGGGTATGGCGAAGTGAGTGCGGTGGTGCCATGCGGATCGTGCCACTGGGGTTTCGGTGCCCCCTCCTTGGGCCACGAAACGTATAAGGGGTATGCCGGAATGGGTGTGGTAGCGCCATGCGGACTTTGCTGTTGATGTTTTCGATGGAACCCCCTATGGGGCTACGACGCGCGCGAGGGGTGTGCCGGAATGAGGCACCGCCGCCATGCGCATTTGGGCCTTAGCTGGAGCTCACCATGGGGCCACGGTGTGTGTGTGTGTGTGTGTGTGTGTGGGACAGTCCTCCTCCCGGGCTCGCCTCCCGCGCCGACGCCGCGCGGCGCTCGGCAACGCACACGGGGCTGCCAAGCTCTGCCCCCCCAACGCCTCCGCCGCCCTGCCGCCCCCGCCATCCTCCCGCTGCTGGTCGCCGCCTGAGTCCCACGTCCCGCGCCGCCCCGCCCCACCGCATGTGGGGCACGCTCCGTTCTCCCTGGCCGTGCGCAGGCTGGCGTTGCCGCCCGCTGCACGGCCTCCTCCCCCGCCCCTCCCGGCCACCCAGCTGGACCCTCCCGCCAGTCGCCCCGCCCTGCCGCCCCGCTGGAGGCGCCTGCTTCGCTGCCCCCGCCAGTTCCCGGGCCAGCCCGTTGCGACGGCGCGGCGCACTCTTGAGGCCCCTTGGGGCTCTCTTGGGCCTTCTTGGGCCCTCTTGGGGCTCGTGGGGTGGGTCTGGGAGGCCTCTTGGGGCTGCCTTGGCCCCCATGATTCAAAAAGAGGGGGGTAGGAAATTCAGGTCCCCCCTTGGGAGGCTCAAACGTGACGTCTTCAGGCCTTTTTTGGGCGCTCTTGGGACTCTGTTGGGCGCTCTTGGGGCCCTCTTTGGGCCCTCTTGGGCCCCTCCTTGGGCTCTATTGGGCCGTCCAGGGGCCATCGTAAAGCCTCAAGAGCCAATCGGACATGAAAAGGCGAAAAGGCAAACAACATTGCTTCTCCGTCGGTTCTGGAGCCATTGACCACTTGGGGGGGTCTGTGGAGGCTCGGAGGGCACTTGAAATCGTCTTGGGGCCGTCTCGAGGCCTCTGAGAATCTTGTCGGAGGTTGTCTTGAGCCATTTTGAGGTATCTTGAGCAATCTTGGAGGCCATCGTGGGCCTTCTGAGACCCTCTTGGAGGCATCTTGGGCCATGTTGGACGTTCTAACCCCTCCGTCCCCCCCTTCCCAAGCCCAGGGGAGGGGGTAGCGGAAGGGATAAACCCTCGTCTTTGGTTCTTTCGCTCCGTGCGTGTATTATCTTCGGTGCAGCCCACTGCTCGGTTTGACCTGCGCCTGACGGGCTCGCACACTCTGGCGCCCGCGGACAAAGAAACTTCACATGTGCATGATAACGCTGTCCAAGCTCTTCCAGCGCCTCCCGCCTGCGCTAGAACTTGAGCGCGCGCAAAGCGTACATATATGTGTATTTGCATGTATATATACATATATGTACATGTGTGTGTATGTACAAACGTAATATTGTACACAAGCATGTGTGTGTACCGTACTACAAACATACGCCCATACAGAGGTATGTTTATGTACACGTGTGCACACCCTCTGTTATTTTCAGTATCACTCTTCCACTGTCTCGCTCTCTCCTCTTCTCCGCATCCATCTCTTTCTCCACCTCCCTGTTTCTCTGCCTCTCTCTCGCCCACTCTTCCTCTCTCCGCATCTCTGCCCATATGTATCCTTACTCCTCTCTCCTCTCTCTCTCTCTCTCTCCTTTTACCTCTCTTTCTCCGTCCTCTCGTATCCAGTCTCTCATCTGCCCTCTCAGTTGTACCGTTTCGTCCTCTGCCTCTTTTCCTTCTTCTCTTACCCTCTCTGATCGCGGTTTCTCTTCTCTCTTCTCTCTCTTACATCCTCTGTCCGGTCCTCCACCCTATTCATCCCTCCCTCCCCTCCCCTCGCCACTCTTCCCCCTGCACTGGGCAGTCGCGCGCCCCGCTCTCTCCTCTCCGAGGCCGCGCCGGTCTTGGTGATGTCCCCCCGTCAGCTGCCGCTCCCGGGTTCTCGGGTCGGTCCGCCGTGCCCTCCTCCTCCCTCCTCCTCCTCCTCCTCCTCCCTCCTCCTCCCACCCCCTCTCCTCCTCCTCCTCCTCCTCCTCCTCCTCCTCCTCCTCCTCCTCCCTCCTCCTCCTCCTCCTCCTCCTCCTCCTCCTCCTCCTCCTCCTCCTCCATGGGGGGGGGCCACCAGCTCAGGGGGGGGCAGAGGCAGCAGCCTGGGATCGGCGAGGCGCACAGTGGATCGGCGATCCGCTTGGAGGCAACCTGGAATCCACCCGGAGTCAACCTGGGGTAGGCATCAGTCAGGAGGGAACGACACTTTTTGATCCGCGGGTCGAGAGCGCACCTCTTCGGTCGAAGCTAAGCGGGCCGCGCGAAGCTTGAATTGGGCAGAGAAGAGGAGGGAGGAAGCGGCGGAGCCTCAGAGCGAGGCCGAGAGGAGGCATAGCCTCGGATACAGGCGGTGCCGAAGCTGAAATGCTTGCAAAGGGACGCCTTTGACAGGTGCCCGGTGGCGAAGTACCGGAGAAGAGCAAAATGCTACCGTAGGTGTTATTGTCGCCAACGTTTGTTTAACACCAGCCTCGGGTCACAGGAGGGAAAGACACGCACAGGCACACTTCATCGTCAACCCCCAGGAGATCTGGGAAAGTATGGGAAGTGGGGGGAGAGACAAACACCCAGAAAATGTGGGAAACTCTGGGGGATGTGGGCTATTTGTGTGTATCTATTTATTTGTGTGTCCCAGGGCCCCTTCAATCAAGCTGGAGGCACCCTGGAGTCGCCAGTGGATCGGCGACGGGCTCCCCACTGCGAGGCCGCATGGTCCTGGGCGGGTGGGGCCATCGGGGGCCCCTCTCGGCGATCCGTGGGCGACTCGGGATCGATGCGTCCCCCCTAAGCCACGCAGTGGCGCAGCGTCCTGGCTCGCCCATGGGCCTAATTACCAAACGATGCTCTAAGATCCTTTTGTGGTTTCCGCGCGCTGTTCTGAGAACACTTCTGGCTGGGACTGTCTTGTTTTAGCACATCGGGTTTATGTTGTAAGCCACTTGTTTTTGTTCTTAGAACCTGTCTGGGTTCTAAGAACATGTCTTGGTAGGCCTATAGGAATGCCGGGACGGCCGATCCCTGCTCAACTGAGCCTATCCCCCCTTCACGTTGCCCCTCGTCCCCTCCTTCCCCCTTGCCTTCTGCCAGTCGGCTGCGAGCGAGGGGGGGAAACGAGAAGGAGGAGGCCTCTTCAGAAGGCGGCGGGGCCTCTCAGAAGCCCTCTGGCCCTCCGAGAAGTCTTCTGTGCTTTCGGGGAAGGCTCAGGAAACTTCTCAGCAGGCCAGGGAGGGAGGAAGGGATGGAGAGGGAGGGAGAGAGGGAGGGAGGGAGGGAGGGAGGGAGGAGGAGGAGGAGGAACAGGAGGAGGAGGAGGAGGAGGGGACTTCCGAGCCTTCTGAGAAGGCCCGCCCCTTTCCTTTCCCCTCCCCCCAGGCTCGGCGCCGCCTCTCCGAGGAGGACAGGCACCACCGACGCCGCCGATCGACCTGCAGAGCCCTCGTCGCCGCGGCTAGTGGACCACGTGCGAACCCTACCCCTACCCCCCACGTGGGGTTCACTTCGCTCGGGAGCTCCCGAACGAAGCGAACCCCACCCTCCCCCTCAGAAATCGTGGGGGGCAGGGGTAGGGTTCGCACGTGGTCCCCTACAGGGCGGGCTGGATTCGCCTCGACGTCCTGGTCAGGGCACACCCCAGGAGATGTCCACGGAGCGTCGGCATCGGCACCTTACGGTCGAAATCGACAGGAAGGCTCGCCGCCGAAGGACTCGTCGTCGAGCATTTCCCGCCGGTGCGGCCTGCTGGCCACCCCTCCCGCTCCAGGCGCTGCTCCAGCACGTGCTGCAGACGGGCGCCACTGTGGCGGACATCGGGGAGACCCCCTCCTCTTGCCCGTCGGGGGGCCCGGCAGGGTTGCAGCACCAGACGGCATGGGCAGGGGAAGGGTGGGCGGATGGACAAGCGGAGGAGGGAGACTTAGAGAAGGGGAGGGGGCATGGGTCCAAAGTAGGTGTATGAGGGAGAGAAAGGGGGGCATACACACATGCGTATCGATATCAATGTTATGTAGATATAAGAGATGTATGTATGTATGTAGGTATGTATATATGTATGTATGTATGTCTGTCTGTCTGTCTGTCTGTCTGTCTGTCTGTCTGTATGCATGCATGCACGCATGCATGCATGTATGTATGAATGCATGCATGCATGCATGCATGCATGTATGCATGTATATATATATATGTATGTATGTATGTATACATGCATGCATACATGTATGTATGTATACATGTATACATGTATGTATGTATGTATGTATGCATGCATGCATGCATGTATGCATGCACGCATGTATGTATGTATGTATGTATGCATGTATGTATGTATGTATGTATGTATGTAGGTAGGTAGGTATGTATGTACGTATGCATGTATGTATGTATGTATGTATGTATGTATGTATGTATGTACGTATATATGTATGTATGTATGTATGTATGTATGCATGTATGCATGCATGCATGCATGCATGTATGTATGTATGTATGCATGTATGTATGTATGTATGTATGTATGTATGTATGTATGTATGTATGTATGTATGTATGTATATGTGTATGTATGTATGTACGTATGCATGTATGTATGTACGTATGTATGCATGCATGCATGCATGCATGTATGCATATATGTATGTGTGTGTATGTATGTATATATGCATGCATGTATGTATGTATGTATGTATGTATATATGTATGTATGTATGTATGTATGTATATATGTATGTATGTATGTATGTATGCATGCATGTATGAATGTATATATGTATGTATGCATGTATGTATGTATGCATGTATGTATGTATGTATGTATGTATGTATGTATGTATATATGTATACATGTATGTATGTATGCATGAATGTATATATGTATGTACGTATGCATGCATGCATGCATGCATGCATGCATGCATGTATGGATGCATTCATGTATGTATGTGTGTGCATGTATGTATATATGCATGTCTGTATGTATGTATGTATGTATGTAGGTATGTAGGAATGTATGTAGGTATGTATGTATGTATACACATATCGATATATCTGTGTGTTTATATACACATGTTACATAACCATCTATAGTATTACACGCAATTTTCCGAAGGAGTGGATCTCAGAGGCGAATAAATGAGGGACCTGTCCCGTTCGAGATTTGCCTGGCAGATTTGTTCGGGACGGCCTCACAATTATGAAGATCGGATGCGCCCCTCACGTAGATCGCGACGTCACGGTCCAGAAACAGCCTGTCTCAAACAGTTTGACATACAACCTTCAAATCAGCGTGGTTTTCACTGATGTTGGTCGTCGCTCTTAGAAAACGGCCGTTTCGTTTCGCATGAGACATCCCCACAATATTGTATATAACCCGACGTGTTCAAAGCTGTCCTCACATGAATCAAGATAACAGGTTCGCTCGAGACATCCTCAAAACGTTGGCTTCGGAGCTTCTTGTCAATTGCAATCACAAGGTGTGGAACGCCCTCCTGCGCGGCACACATCTGGAGGTGTGGCAACCCGACCTGCGTTCGACTGCAATCCCGCTGTTGCACCTCCTTCCAAACAGCCCTCTGGTGATCCTCATGGTCCTTCTCCTCTCCGTTTTCTCTGCGTCTCCGTCTCATTCCTCCTCCTTGGATCCTCCGACTCCATTTTCTGATTCTTGCCAATTTTCTGCGATGCTTACGTGCCGCAGCTCTTTTGTATGAGCCTGGGCGCGCCCGTGCCTGCGTTACATTTATATGATCATGTCTGAGTGTACAACTTCGTTTATATACACATGTATGCATGTACGCACGCATGAGTTTAGGTACCAGTATAATCACACACTACATACACATGCGTATGTATGTATGTATGTATGTATGCATGCATGCATGCATGCATGCATGCATGCATGCGTGCGTTCATGCATGCATGCACGTATGTGTTTACGTACGTACGCGTGTATGTATGTATACATGTATGGATGCATGTATGTATGTTTGTACGTATGCATGCATGTATGCATGCATGCAGGCATGTATGTATGCATGCATGCACGCACGCACGCATGCCTGCCTGCCTGCATGCATGCATGCATGCATGACTATCTGTATGCATGTATGCATGTATGTATGTATAGATGCATGCACGCATGTATATATTTTTGTATATATGTATGTGTGCATGTATGCATGCGCGTCTGCGTGCTTATACATATATATACATGTATATATATAGGTCTATATGCATGCATGCATGCATGCATGTATGCATGTATGTATGTATGCATGCATGCAGGTATGCATGTATGTATGCATGTATGTATGCATGTATTTCTGTAACCCTGCATGTACGCATGTATGCATGCATGTATGTGTGCATCTATGTTAATGCAAGTATAGCATGCGTAATGCGATATACCGATATATATACAGAGAGAGAGAGAGAGAGAGTGAGAGAGAGAGAGAGAGACAGCGAGGGAGAGGGAGAGAGAGATAGAGAGCGATATATCGATAGAGATAGATAGAGAGAGAGAGAGAGAGAGAGAAAACGAGAGAGAGAGAGAGAGAGAGAGAGAGAAAGATAGTGACAGGGAGAGAGAGAGAGAGAGAGAGAGAGAGAGACAGGCAGAGAGAGAGAGAGAGAGAGAACGAGAGATGTGGAGAGAGAGAGAGAGAGAGAGAGAGAGAAAGAGAGAGAGAGAGAGAGGGGGAGAGGGAGAGAGAGGAACGTTGGTAGATGAGGGGGAATCTACGTATGTGGAAGAGCAGCAGGAATGTAGAGGGAAGGGTAATGAAGAGGAGGAGGAGGATGAGAAGGAAGAGGGGGATGAGGATGACGCTGCTGCTGCTGATGCTGTGGAGCTTGCTATGCTGATGATGCTGTTGATGATGCTGATGGTAAGGCTTCTGCTGCTGATGATGGTGATGATGTGATTTTGATGCTGTTGATGATAAGGAGGAGGGGGAGTCGTAGGACGAGGGCGACAACGATGGTGAGCCTCCCCTTTTTTGTCACCGTTGCAACGCAGGGTTTATGTTTGCTCCGTGAGGCCAAGGCAGTTCTGATGGAGCTGCTTCGCCGCGGTGGTAGAGACGGCGACGTTGCCCCCCTGCCTCTTTTTGCAAGTTTTCGTTCGCTGCCGCATGGTCTTGAAGACCAGTTCGTGAAACCGTGAAACGAGGCGCAAGGAAGAAAAGGAAACGGCGGACTGAAGGACGAGGAACGACAAATCATTTGATCAGAAAGGCTGCACCCTCTGCGGCACTTTGAGGCCATCCTTGGCCATCTTGGTGCCTCTCGGGGGCATCTTCGGGCCTCTGGCCCATCTTGGGGGTACCTTGTGGCCATCTTGAGGCCTTGTTGGGTCATCTTGGGCCACTTGGGTGGCACCTGAAGGTCTTTCGGGGCCGCCTTGGGGACGTCTTGGGCAATTTCGGGGGCTCTCGGGGTCATCTGAACAGCGATCTTCGGACATCTTGGCAACGAGACATGGGAAGAGGCCAACATCCTTGAACACGCGATGGTTTTGTCTTCCCTCTCGGGGGCGTTTTGGCGCCCCCCTGGGTCATTTTGCGGTAGGTTCGCGTCGTTTCGATGCGGCGGCGACCCCGCCGCGAGCGTTCAATGTTGAGCGCCGCCTGCGCCCCAGAATCGGCTTATGTGAAACGATCTGGCTATCGAAATGCCGCCGATCGTTCAAGGATGAACGATCCACGCAGTGTCGAAACCAACGCCAGGGTTGTCACGACACGAACCTGCCGTGGAAGAACTTCTGGGTCGCGTTCGGCCGTCTTGGGCTCTTGGGGCCTTCTTTGGGGGCTCCTGGGGCCGTCCTGGAGGCCTTTTACACTGCTCGCGCGCCTCCCTCCTCCTTCTTCTCCTCCTCCTTCTCCTTCTCCTCCTCCTCCTCCTTCTCCTTCTCCTCCTCCTCCTCCTCCTCCTCCTCCTTCCCCCCCCTCCTCCTCCCTCCTCCTGCCTTCTGCCTCCTTGCTTCCCCTCCTCGTACCTTTCCGACTTGGCGGCTGCGAACTGCGCAGGTGTCGCCACTTTCGTGGGCTTTTGCGAGGCACGGCGGAGGTGAGGGCAGCGCAGCTCCATTTGAGACCTACCTCGCGGCTCCATCGGGGCTGCGAAGTTGCACCATTGTCGCCACTTGCGTGGGCTCCTGAGGCACGGCGGAGGTGAGGGCAGCGCAGATCCATTTGAGACCTTGCGGCGGCTCCGTCGGGGGCTGCGAATTGCACAACTGTCGCCACTTTCGTAGGCTCCCGGGAGGCACGGGGGAAGCGAGGGCAGCGCAGGTCCATTTGAGACCTCGCGGCTCCGTCGGGGGCTGCGAACTGCGCAACTGTCCCAGTTTCGTGGGCTCCTCGGAAGCATTGCGGAGGTGAGGGCAGCGGCGATCACTTTGAGACCTCGCGGCTCCGTCGGGGGCTGCGAACTGCGCAACTGTTTTAGTTTCGTGGGCTCCTGGGGAGGCGCGGCGGAAATGAGGACAGCGGGGATCACTTTGAGACCACGCTGTTCTCTCGGGCGCTGCGAGCTGTGTAATGTCGCCACTTTCGTGGGCTCCTGGGAGGCGCAGTGGAGGTGAGGGCAGCCGGGATCTCTTTGAGACCTTGCTGTTCCTTTGGGGGTTGCGAGCTTCGCAACTGTCGCCACGTTCGTGGGCTCCTAGGCAGGCGCGGTGGAGGTGAGGGCAGCGGGGATCACTTTGAGACGTCGCTGCTCCGTCGGGGGCTGCAAACTGGCGCAACCGTCTCCAATTTAGCGGGCTCCTGGGAGGCACGGCGGAGGTGAGGGCAGCGCAGATCCATTTGAGATCTCGCTGCTCCGTCGGCCGCTGCGAGCTGTGCAACTGCCGCCATTTTTGAGGGATCCTGGGAGTCACGGCGGAGATATGAGGGCAGCGCGGATTCTGTGAGACCTCCACCCGTATGTCCCGACATTGTTTGGTGAAGCATGTCGGAGTGCTGCATGTTTCGCTCCATTGTTTTTTGTGTACCACGATCAAAAATAGTCGCCTCGCGTAGAGAACGGTTTGGGTGCGTCTCGGGTAAGTGTGTGTGTGTGCGTGTGTGTGTGTGTGTGTGTGTGTGTGTGTGTGAGAGTGTCGCAGGCCGAGAGGTTGACACCAATACCAATATCGACGGTGTGCCTCCACCGAGGGAAGAAGATCCTGATCTCGGTGATGTGGTAATATTCTGGTTTCCAAGGCGGCCGAAATATTGCCACCAACACCGAAATCTAGGATCATCTTCCCCCCTTGGAGGCAACCCCCTGTGTTGGTGTTGGTGCCCATTTCCAGGCCTCCAAGAGTGTGTGTGTGTGTATATGTGTGATACCCGCCGCCTCCCCTCTCCTCGCTGTAAACATACAGGACTGGCGAGAGAAGAGGCGAGAAACAAAGGTCACGACACAGATAATCAGGGCAGCAGTCCAGCAGGCAGGTATCTAAGCTCACAGCCTTGCGGCCCCCAAGAGGGCAGACGGATCTCCTGCGTACAGCAACCGCGCCTTGTTTTTTTCCGTCGCCAGGCTGGTTCTGGCCACTATGCCAAGTGGCTGAACGACACCGGCCTCGTCTCGGCCTATGCCTTTGACGGCACGCCTGAGGTCGAGCTCGTCACCAGAGGACAGTCTTCGCATTTTTGGGGGGTGTGGTGGGGGATGGGGACGCGGATGATGATGATGCTGCTGCTGCTGCTGCTGCTGATGATGATGATGATGATGATGATGATGAAGATATGATGATGCTGCTGATGATGATGCTGATGATGCTGATGGTGATGATGCTGATGATGCTGATGATGAAGATATGATGATGCTGATGCTGATGCTGATGCTGATGCTGATGATGATGGTGATGCTGATGCTGTTGATGATGTTGATGATGATGAGGATGATGATGATGATGACGATGATGATGATGATGAGGATGAGGATGAGCATGAGGATGAGGATGAGGATGAGGATTATGCTGATGCTGATGATGACGATGACGATGACGATGAGGATGATGCTGATGATGAGGTTGATGATGAGGATGATGGTGAGGATGAGAGTGATAATGAGGATGAGGATGAGGGAGGACGAGGACGAGGATGAGGATAAGGATGAGGATGGGGATAGAGGATGAGGATGAGGATGAGGATGAGGATGATGTTGCTGCTGATTCTGATGCTGATGATGCTGACAATGCTGATGATGCTGCTGCTGATGAAGCTGATGCTGCTGCTGATGCTGTTGATGATGATGATGCTGATGCTGATGCTGATGATGCTGATGATGCTGATGCTGATGCTGATGATGCTGATGCTGCTGCTGATGCTGATGCTGACGACGATGATGATGCTGATGATGATGACGATGAGGAGGATGATGCTGCTGATGATGATGGCGATGATGAGGATGATGCTGCTGATGATGATGATGGCGATGATAATGCTGATTATGATAACGATGGTGCTGATGCTGATGGTGTTGATGCTGCTGCTGATGATGCTGATGCTGATGCTGATGCTGCTGATGCTGAGGATGCTGATGCTGATGATGCTGATGATGCTTCTGCTGATGATGCTGATGCTGATGCTGATGCTGCTGATGCTGAGGATGCTGATGTTGATGATGCTGATGATGCTGCTGCTGATGATGATCATGATGATGATGATGGTGATGATGTTGATGATGACGATGATGATGATGATGATGATGATGATGATGATGATGATGATGATGATGATCATGATGCTGCTGATGACGATGATGACGACGATGATGACGATGACGATGACGATGATACTGCTGCTGCTGGTGATGATGCCCATTTCGATGGTGGTGATGACGATGACGAGAACGATGAGGATTATAACGATGATGTGCGTGCAACTCTGCTTATTGTGGTGCTGCGTTGGCCAGGCCTAGTGATCTAGTCTGGCCTCATGCCCCCGCTCTCCATGTGTTTTCGGGATCCCAGTTTCTTTCAATCTCGGAGATGCCTTGTCATTCCCTGGGCCTCGGCCTCCCAACATAATGTTTTAGCAGGTAATGACTGTGAGCTCAACGGCCCAGCAGAGCCTGAAGGCTGTAATTCATGAACGAGGCCCTACAGAAGGCCCCGCCCCCGTCTTTTCGCTCGCATGCCGTGCAGCGCGCGATGAATGCGGCTGGTGAGGAGGCGAACGTCGCGCCCGACGGGGGAGGAGTGCCATCGGTGGGTGAAGCTATTGTAGAGCTCGACGGGCGCCAGATTTTGGTGGCCCATTGGTCCCTGCTCTGCACGCTGTGTCGCTCCTATCATGCTGCATGTGGAGGGTTGGCCAGCTGCAGGCTCAATCAGGAGGCCTGCAAGGGCCCCTCTCATTTCCATGCTGCTTGTTGTAAGCAGCACTATTGCGTTTCTGCTGTTCGCGCTTGTAAGCATCCCAGGACGGGCGACCCTCTCTGCGAGGCGTCCACATAGGCTTGTCTGGGCATTTTCTCGTGAGCGCTTCGCGTTGACGCTGCCCCAGCGTCTGCCGTGCCTGCCAGGTGTCAGAATTGTGAGGCGAGCTGTGGTCTCAAGGTGGTACGTTCGCTTGCGCTAGTCTACCGTTCGCGCGCGCGCGTGCGCGCGCGCGCGTGTGTGTGTGTGTGTGTGTGTGTGTCTCTGTGTGTGTGTGTGTTTGTGTGTTTGTGTGTTTGCTGGCCACAGCGCTGCTCGCTCTGAACGGTTTGAGGGCTCGGCCGCCAGTCGCGCGCGCGCGTTCTTTTCTCCGACTTTGGGCGCCCCGTCGCTGCGCGCGGGTCCGCGATGCCAGAAGTGTGTGTGTGTGTGTGTGTGTGTGTGTGAGTGTGTGTGTGTGTGTGTGACTGTGTGTGTGTGTGTGTCCCCTTCCGCGATCCCAGAATTTAGCTGGCTGCGGTTTAACCTAGACTGCGCATGTACTGGCCGTACCGTGTCACGTGCCACCCACCTGGGCGGCCTGCGGCCCACGTCCGTTGACCTAGCACCCCGTGTGTTACTTCGACGGCGTCATTGCTTCGTTTACATGCCTTACCCGAATTGGGCCCCATCGGCGCCCGTGGGTGCCCCGGCGTCGCGGCCTGGCAGCTGCCATGGTTTCGTTGACGGGGCTGGCCGCGCCAGCGCACTCAGGTGAGAGCTCTTCTGCCTGTGGGTGGCCTTTTCTCCTCCTCTGCCCCCCACGGCCGCCCGCTCTGCCCTCCAGTCTTGCATGCTGGCCACTTCGCTTGTCGGTGCCCCCGTCTAGCTCTATCGCTGGTGCAGCCAACTCTGCCTCGACGCCGGCGGAAAAAGTGTGTGCGTGTGTGTTGCTTTCCTTCCCGCGACCTGTCGCAGCCCCACGGAAGGAAGGCCAGGCGCTAGCGTCCTCTTGTGGGAACCATGCGGGTTTTGTTGTTTATAAGTTTAGCATGATGTAGGACCGTGCAAGGGATCCGGGGGAGAGAGGTCCATGATGACTCTCATCTGTTTTGACATTGTGGCTCAAGTCTTAAAAGGCATCTAATTACCGCTTCTCCTGTTGCCACAGTTGGTAGCAGAGCGGTGTCGAGCCCACGGCTGGGTGCACTCCAGACGCGCCATGTGGTGGTGTGCTGGAGCGAACGCTCAGTAGCCTGGGGCCGCGCACCGCTCCAGAGAGCCAGCGTGCGTGGGATCCACGGAGATGAGGGCGAACGGCGAGGCGTTCGCAGTGCTGCCAGGGGCAGCCGGGCAGCCGGCCGCAGGGGCAGCCGGACAGCCAGCCGTGGCAACCGGAGCAACAGCAGCGGCCGACGCAGCAGCAGCAGCAACGCAGAGAGCATAGTTTTCGGCAGGGTTAGGAGCTGGAACTGACGGGATGAAAGACTTCGCCAAAGAGTACTTCGAGTAGTACTAGCCGGGAAGCCCTCAACTGCTTCGGACGTTCCTGGCCCAGCTGGAGCCGATCCCTGGACACTGTAGGATCCTTGGAAGAAGGGTCGTTCCGACGACAGCTGGTGGAAAAACGATTGGTCCAAGGAGTTGCGCGACGAGAAGTGGAAGACCGAGGACTGGGACGATCAGTTGACGAGGGGTAAATGGCAGACAGGATGGTGGAGCTCTGGCGGCACGTTCGCCAAGGGCGATTATTCGGATCCGCCGAGTTGGTCAGGATGTACCACCTATCGGAAGTGGAAGAGAGCAGTGATTCGATGGAATCGATGTACGGACGTACCGCTGTGTAAGCGGCGCGAAAAATTCTTGAAACTATTCGACTTGGGCACGCGGGAGAAGTTCGAGGATATTGAAGAACAAGACCTGGATAGCGCTAGGTGGCTAGATCTCATGCTGTCCCTGCTCGATCGAATGATCGGAGAACGTGATGGTGATGACAAGAGGGGAATCGGACGCAGGGCTCTATTCGAAAGCAACTGAGAGGCGAAGGAGTCGCTGCAGGCCTTCGCAGGCCGCTGGGGGCGCCAGCTTCGCGAGGCTGAAGGAAGCGATTTGTGGTTCTCAAACAAATTCAAGGGCTCCATGATGGAAGACGGAGCTGCGTTGTCTGGCCAAGGCATGCAGAACCTCAGGACAGCGACGAGAGTGTCTTCATTTCAAGAGTGTGTGCTGGGCGCTCTGGCAGTTGAACTATTCTACATCTGAAAGGTTGTTCCCAGGGCGCGCGGGGGCTCGCGCCGTTTTTCCCGCCGACGGCCCGCCCGAGGCCGACGGCGGAGATGGCCGGGGGGGGGGGCGACGCCGAGTCAGAGGGGGCGGGGGCCAACGTGGCCGGCATCAAGTGCCGCGCGTGGAAGGAAAACATGGACCCGAAGCGAGCCGCGATGAGAGATGGGGGGTTCTACGGGGGTGGCCGCGACCGCGTACCTGGAGCGCGAGATCGACGACCGCCGGTCGCCGCCGGGACTGCCCGTGGCGCCGGGCGCGGGCGAGGGCGAGGACGCGGGTTACCTCGTAAAGGGAAGCTTGCCGGGCTGCCGCTGGAGGAGGTGATCGAGATCGCCCGGCGCAGGATCTGCGACGAGAAAGGACACTGGCCCCGAGAATGCTTGAAGAAGAACCTCAACGCCAAGAACGCGGACAAGTGGTATCCCATTCATTCTCCCACGGGTGCGGCAACGGGTGCGCCGGCGCACCCATCGGCGGACCTGATCGCTGCGTTGAAGGGCGTGCTGGGGAGTCTCTCTGAGGTGTACTTGTCTTCCCCTCAGACGCAGGGCCAAGTCGACCCCGGAGCTGGGCGCGATCTAGTGGGACTGCCAGCGCTGAATCGGGAGGCGGCGGCGCTGGCGAAGATGGATCTTGCCTGCGCGCTGGTTCGCCCGACGGAGAAGAAGCCGCGCCCGGCGCGTGGGGTCGGCGGAGCAGCCGAGACCATCGCGATGTTTCCCATGACATTGTGCGAAGTCATCGGGGTGAAAAGACCGCGGTCCTGAAGGGGGATGTGCCCCGCGTCGTTAGCGTGAACCTCTTGGACATCTTAGGGTGTGTGATCGACCTCCCTCGCAACAATGCGAAATCCGACTTTATCAAGGTGGGTCTGGAGCTCGACGAGCTGGCGTCGGGGCGCCGCGCGGCAGACGTCGCGGCGCCGCGCGGGCCCGCGCGCCCGGCGGCGCACTGGCGGCCTACCATTTCTTGGCAGCCGGCTCGTT